CCATCCATCCATCCATCCATCCATCCATCCACCCACTCATCCATCCACTCATCCATCCACCAATTTATCCATCCGTCCACCAATCCATCCATCCATCCATATAGTCAATCAACAAACACCTGATTAGTACCAACTAGGTTCTGGGTGCAGTGATGGGAAAGAGTGATCTGAAGGTTAAATTGTCAGCTCTTATCTCAGCGCCCTCACCTTCCACAATCACATGGTTGGTACTTATAGGGTTGACCTCGGACACCGCTTGTCCACAAGACTCAAATCTCAATGCTTATTAAACTGCCCGACCACAGTCTGTCTTGTTCTGTGCATCACTTGGCCTGCGAATACATTTGGACTAAAAGCTCGAGCACTCTCTCTTCTGGGCACCCACTCACCCATTCCCCCGACAGCCACCTTCACAGGCAGTTCCACTGTCTAATTTTATTTCCACACTTCAAAGCTTGAGTGTTTGTGAGGACACAGAACAAACCTAGAAACTTATATAAACTAAAACCCAAAAGGATTTACATGTGCCGTTTCTAAAGTAGAATTCTTAATTATATCACATATGCATTGTCATAGTAAGATGTAAAATGTTACATTGTTCATAGTACTTTGTTTTTGCAAAATAGTATTAACTCTATTTTTAGCAGATAAAAGAACATACTAATTTTTTTAGTCACATTAGTTTGAATAATTCATGATAATCTGAAATTGGATGTCTTGACCTTAAAAAATGTACAAACTGTTGTAATGTACACATTTAAAAGATATATTTTAAAATTCATATCTAGAAATGACAGTGTAGCCCGATAGTTTTTGTCTCACCCCCACACACCTGCACACACCTGCACACAGGCACACGCACACACACACACACACAGGCACACGCACACACAGGCACACGCACGCACACACACACACACACTTCCCTGTGCTCACACCACCCCATGTTCTCCCTCCCTCATCAAGGAGTCCTCTGTCCCCACGGCAGTTGCTTCCCTGCTTTGGGATATTCCAAGTGCACCCTGGGTTTGCACTGATTGGGCTTCTCTCCTTAGCCTTGTCCCTGTGACTTAGTCACCCAGAGCACGCTGAGAGAACGCAGGTTTTGAATTTTATTTTATGTTTCCTCGGCTGCTGGTTGTCACCCTCACATTTTCAGTTGTGTGCGGTGGCAGAGATGGGGACGTGGCCTTCCCTCTCCCGAGTCAGGGTGCTCAGAGCTGGACACGCTGGATCTCTCCTGCTGCTCATCATCAGGAAGCTGCGAGGTGAGGAGTGTTTCAGCGCTCTGGACTCAGCACCCCGTGAGCTGTAAACCCTGCAGCGGACAGACGGCTCCGACTTGGGGACGAGTGAAGAGAATTTAGTTTGGTTCCCACCGCGTTCCTGGCAGAAGCCGCTGGGGGCTGCAGCATGGCCTATAATCGGTCAGGAAAGATTGCACGTGGAAACAACGTATCTGGTTTCTGTTGGACTCCGCTGGCCCCCTCGCGGGTGTCATTCTTGTCTTCACCTTCTCCGTAGTCGCTGCATCACCAGGGGCGGAAGCGGTCCTTTCCCTTGGGCACAGACCCGGTGTATGCCCACCACCCACGGTGTCTGGACACCACTGGTGCCTATCCAGGCCCCTGTCCGGAAAACCCGCCGCTGTGCTTAGGGCTGACACATGGTGGGAACATCGACATTATTCAAACAACCAGAGTCGCAAAATGATGGGCTCTTGGCCTGGAAAGTTCTCCTACTCACCCCTCCCCGGGACTCTGCTACCGGTTGTCTGAATGTGTCCTGGGGGAGGAGAGTGGGGAGCTGCCATCAGGCAGAGATGGCTGGCCCTCTCTCTTCGCTGGGGGATGGGACCCCTGCTCTCCAGGATGCGCCAGCCTGGTCTTAATTCCCAGGACCTCAGAATGTGGTCTTATTTGGAAATAGGGCCATTGCAGATGGCATTAGTTGAGAGGAGGTCGTACTGGGTGGAGTAGGGTGGGCTCAAATCCAACATGACTAGCGTCTTTATAAAAAGGGGAAATTCGGACCCCAGGACAGACACGCACAGAGCAAGGACCGTGTGAGGACATAGGGAGAAGCTGGCTGTCCACATACCAGTGAGAGAGGCCTGGAACAGCTTTCCCTCACAGCCTGTGCAAGGCACCAACCCGGCCGACACCGTGGAGGTCTTGGACTTGGAGCCCCAGACTTTGAGGGAGTGAATTCCAGCTTTTTCAGCTGCCCAGGTTGTGGTACTTGTTATGGTCACCCTAGGAAGCTAATCCATGAGCTTGGCGAGGAGTTTGCTGCTTCTGACTTCTGAGGATGATTTACAACTCCATTCCATTCTCTCGGGATCTCTTAGATGGCTGAGTCCCTTTTTTTCTGGAAGGTTCTCTCTCTTGGCTTCCTCCTGCCTCTCTCATCCCTCCTCTGACCTTTTAGCTCCCCCTCCTCTTCTTCACACAGGAGGAGCTCAGATTGCACGGCCAATAATCGATATTTGAGCTCTCCACTGTCCCCTCCTTCTGAAATGAAGTGCTAATTGGATTCCCTCCATGCTCTCCTGCCCCTGCTGACCACCTGCTTAGCTTTCTGGGCCAGGGTCTCGTCTCCGCACCTGTAGGTGCTGGGGGACCCAGGGCTTCATCCTCAGGCTCTCTTCTGTGCACACCCCTCAGGGTCTCATCCGGTTTCATGGCTTCAAACAGCACCGCGGGCTTCCCCTCTCCCAACGCCCAGTCTCCTACTCGTCTGTCCCTTGGGCTGCAGACCTACATTCAACTGCCTGCCCAGCATCCCCCTGCAAAGTGCAGTCAGTTCTTCAGGCTCAGATGGGCCCAGACTCAGCTCTTGTTCTCACCTTGTGCCCCCCAACCTCCTCCTCCTCTTGCATTTCCCCATTTCAGAATATATGGGAACTCTTCTAGTCGCTCCCGGGGCAAAAATCTAGAATCCTGCTGGTGTGCTCTCCTCTTTTACAGCTCTGTTCAATCCATCCGCCAACCCTGCTGGCTCTACCTTCCAACCGCCCCAGCAGTCTGACCACCTCCCACTGCTTGCGCTGCTCCCAGCCACCACCA